CATATGCCAAATTATTTCAATATTAAGATCCAAGTACTGTAACCACTTGAAATTTACAAAACGGCTTGTTTATTTACGCCCGAATTTGTCATGCAACAAAAGGAAACTTGCCTGTATTCATTTTTTTTTTTGTATAAAAAATCGAAATTAGTTACAATACAGGTATGGCATATAATCTTATTTTTTAACTATTATAAAATAAAAACTTATACAGAAGTAAAACACTTCAAATTTGTATCTTGGTATAAAATATTTAATTTAAAACTTGTTAAAAGTGTCGTTTAAAATTTACAGGTACTCAACGTAACGTTTTCGATCTAGCTCAGATCATCCTCAGTGCCTTTTTTTGTACTTGAAGCTAACACTAAAATTGTAGCGGTAACACCAATATATGGTTTTACATATTTAAAAATTTGTAAATTCTAATGCGACAATAGGTCGATGACAATGGATAAAGATTTTAATACTTAAAGAGCAATATGTTTCTTTGCTCGACTTGAACACGTCGTTTTTGTCAGTTAAAACAACACCGACCAACTGGCTGAGGTGACAGGAAGTATAATTCAAGAAGACAGCATTAACATGACGAGGTATGGGTATGTCGAAAAGTCCAAGACGTCTTACATCTACAATATAATAGGTATTAAAGAAACATACCAATTAATATTATACAAACCATCGAAAACATCTACCTCCATAATCGAATACAGGCAAAGATAAATGGAAAACTAATACAGTGTATACCAGTACAAAGCAGTCAGGCAGGGTGACTCGTTAAGCCCACTTCTCTTTAATATAATAATGGACGAAATAATACAAGCGGTACATAAAGGTCATTACCCTGCATAACATAAATATTATGTTATGCAGGGCGACGCCGCATTATTTGCCGAGACAGAAGACGAGCTCCAAATATTAATACATATCTTCAATACAACAGCTAAGAAATACAATATGATAATATCATCAGAAAAAAACTATATGTTTGCCAATATCTAAATACCCACTACGGCAGCGGTCGGGGAACTTTTCTAATCATTACCCCAAAACATTTTTGTGTAAGTTGATATTCATCATCACAGTCATTAACATCTTAGTAGATGTGTTGTGGTTCATAATTGGGCTTCAGCAGCTCGGACAGTTTGATTGATAAAAAGTTGATTTTACCCAAGGCAAAAAACAAAAAAGCAAAAAAAAGACCTCTTTTTAGCATCATTCATATTATAGCCCCCATGATAGTTTTAAACAGAAAACAATAACTAAAACATAAAATAGACATCATTTATTCAATTTCTATGAGACCTAGAAATACATAACATAATAATAGATAACAATAATAAGATATAAAAAATTAAAACCCATTGCGGTACTGTAATAAATTATAATAATAATAATGGTTGTACTAACAAAAATTAGAATTGAAAAAATTATAAAAAAAGAATAATTGAAAACATTCTTCCTTCACGTTTTGGAGAAATGCTGTTGTTTCATGTTTAATACAATTGCTTTAAAATTGGGACTTTTTGATGTAGAGCGATTTGAATACAGTCTTCGGCGTTTAATCGATTTCTGTTCTTCGTTTTTATGTTCACTAGAATGGAAAAGCCTTATTCGCACAAATATGTTGTTCCAAATGGCAGCAATTTTTTAACCGCCTCTTCATTCTTCAATTTTGAAAGCCTTTGCAGCTTTTGATATCCAAAAAGACGACAGATTTGGTTTACTCTCAAATTGAATACGTGCTTCAGTATTAGATCAAAGTTTAAGAATTGCTTCTGCCAAACCTGAAAGTTCTTCTGGTATCATATCAATTTCACATTTAAAAGGATCTACAATCCAACTGACAGTACGTATATCAAGATCTGGAAAGTAATCTGAAAACCGCTTTCTGAGTTTGATAAGATGTCTTACAGTTGTATCCTTGATGTCAGCAAAAGTAATATTTTCGCAATCTTCCAAAAACAAAGCTAACCTTGAAAAAGAAGCTATCTTGTTCTGTTCTACTTTCTGACTCCAATATTGCAGCTTTAATCCAAACGCTGACACTATTTCTCTCGCTGAAATGATATTAATATTCTTTTCTTGCAATTCTTTGTTTAATATATTTATACTCTCAAAAATGTTAGCTAAATATGCGAGATATGCAACCGAGGAAGAGATTTTAAACTTATCTGAGAGAATATTTTTTTGATCAACCATAAAAATTTCCACTACAGTTTTGAGAGTCCATACTCGATTTAGTACATTTCTGCGAGAGAGCCACCTTACTTCTGTATAATAAAGTAGGTTCGTATATTCGGCTTCACCGTCTTGACATAATTCACCAAATTGCCGCGTGTTTCAAATCATACAGTGAATAACTTCAATATTTGGGATATTTTTTTACGAAAGCCGAAAAACCATTAATTTGGCCCAGCATAGCTGGAGCTCCATCCAAAGATACTGAAATACAGTTTTCCCATTTTAAACTTTGAGCATTGAAGTATTCATTTATTTTATTGTAGACATCAATTCCACGAGATCTTAACTCGAGAGGAGAACAAAACAGCAATTCCTCTTCAAAATTATCTGCACCTTTGTAGCGAACATATACCATTAGCTGTGAATTGTTACTAAAATCAGTTGTCTCGTCAAGCTGAATAGCAAAATATTTAGCCTGTTTTAATAAGAAAATAACTTGTTCCTTCACATTTTCTGCTAATATAGAAATTCGTTCTTTCACAATTCTCGCAGACAAGGGCACTGAATTCAGTTTGTTTGCTTCTTTTTGACCGTCATAATCTCTGTCATTTTTACAGCAGCTGGTTTAACCAAATCTTCACCAATAGTGTATGGTTTCTTATTTCGAGCAATCAACCAGGCTACTTCAAAGCTAGCCCTTGATGCTGAACGCTGATCAAATGTACCAAACAAGTTGCTATTCAATCTTTGTCTTTTAACAGATATTTCTAAATTTGCAAAGTATTCTCGCGGTTTGGAAGACAGGTGTGAATGCAAATTATCTAAACGTTTCTTCAGTTGACTTTTTTTGAAAGATTCTGAAGTCAATACCTTCATACATATAACACACTGTGGTTTCATTGTACCATTGTTTTCTATTTGTGTAAAACCGTAATTAAGGAATTCGTCTTGATATTTTCTTTTTCTATTTGCTGCCATCTGAAGGAGACAGGAAATAATAGTTGTAAAATACTTAAATTAAATTTTCAAATTGCGGCTTACCTTGATCGATATATCGATGATTAATAATTGTCAGCAACTAATTATAACTCTCTGACTCGTGACTCGTCAATGTATTTGTATTCTGACTGCACGGCACGGACTGAGGGACTGAGCAGGTAGCCGGGGCTCGGGTCGGGGCTGTGCTTTACTGCGCAAAGATATAACTCGAGAACACTCTACTGGTGGGGAGTGCAGTGGCGCAGCCAGAGGGGGTTTTGGGGTTTAAAATACCTCCCAGGTCATATAAAAAATTTACAAAGGATAGTATGAAAATGTAATTTATCTTTCACAAATAATACAAAAAAATTTCGGTGCATGCAAAACAGGTTTATAAAAAATCAAATTAAAATATATACTTTTTACTCACAAGTTTCATTTTTACCCCCAAAAATTTCATTTTTACCCCATTTGGGGTAATTTACCCCGGTTCCCCGACCGCTGCACTACGGTGTAAAATTGAAATTGATGGGAAAATAATAAAGCAGGAAGCAAGGTTTAGATATTTGGGAATAGATATAATTAGTTACGGAGATGTTGAAGAAGAAGCACGACAACAATGCTTAAAAGCAAGTAAAGTGGTGGGATCTCTTAATGACACAATCTGGAAGAACAAACACCTAAGACAAGACATACAAACAAGAATCTATAAAGCAGCAATTAGACCTATATTAAAATACACGGCGGAGATAAGACCTGATACATCTAAAACGAGACAACTACTACAAACAACAGAGATGAAAATACTCCGACGAATATCAGGGAAAAGTCTGTTGGATAAGAAGAGAAGCGAAAACATAAAAAGAGCATGCAATGTAGAAGACATAAATGGAAGGGTGACAAAACGAAAACGGGAGTAGAACGAACACATCAGTAGAATGGCAAGGGATAGAATAGTACGAATAGCACGAGATAAGTCACCGAACGGACGAAGAAGTATGGACAGGCCAAGAAAAAGATGGTGCGACAATATAAACAATTTAAGAGACTAATATTGAAGAAGAAACAGGCTTTAAAGCCTACATACAAGAAGGAAGAAGAAGATGAAGTCGTTTATATTACAAACAATCTAAAACTTTTACAACTGCTTCTTTTCCATTACACAAGTACATTTTTCAAGACTATGCCTAGTTTTATTACGCAAAATTGTAGAAAATGGAGCTTACCTCAACAGCTGATATGGGGCATGTTCTAGTTTAGATTTTAGTGAATATGAAATTCAATATTATTGAATTTTTTCTCAAAACTTTTTTTCGTTATGCTATCATAAACTAAAATATATCATATTTACTTCAAAGCGTGTTATATTTTTTGTTGCATATATTTCTGTAGTTTAACGGTTAAATATTTATTGAAACAGTTACCTTAGTGTATGTTTTGTATGCTCTAACTCGTATCGAGTTATCGCAAAAAATTTTACTCTACATTAATGCCATCAAATAATTCTTAATTTTCAGCATCATACTTTCCTCTAGCTAAATATGGTGCCGGGGCAATATAAGTTTTTTAATAGAATATTATTATATAGAATAAAGATAGTGGGAGATAATGCTAGAACAGACAAATTATTGAAATTGCGTATGAGTGTCCGATGCTCATGAATATTTCAAAATTTATGAGAACCTAAAACCTAGAAAATAGAATATTTTTTTGAATTGACGATATTTATTTTTATTTTAAAGAATACTTTTTTATTGAAAGAGATAAAAAATATATTGCCCTATCACTATATCACATTAACAACTATTAATTTTTCACTCATAATCACTTCTCTTTTGTAGCAAATAGTACCAGGGAAAAAATGGTTGAAGGTAATTAATATTAATTTATTTACATGATGTAACGTATTTTCGTATAATGTGCAGCGAATTTCTTTTTAATGCTTTATTTAATTAACATTTAAGATTATCGCTACTTTTAAACTTTTCTGTGATTCAAAATTCAAGATATACATATATTTAAACATATTTTGGCTATTAGTTATATGTCGTGAATGTCCATTTTCATCGTTATTAACGACAATGCCTGGCCTTTGACGACAATGACATTTGCTATTGACCAATGTTGTAAAAAATAAGTTAGAGTTTTTATAAATAACCGGTTAATAGCGACAGTGGCCAGAAGCATAATATGGCCAATGTTGATCCTCCTCCTCAGTCCTAATCCTTTTTGGGATGTGGTGACACCATCAGGCCTTTACAGTTTTTACACGATTTCTCTCCATCGTTTCCTGTCCTGGGCTAGTTGTTCGGCTTCGTGTAACCCTTGGTTAATTAATATTTCTTTGATCTACACAACAACTTGGAGATCTTCCACTAGCTCTCTTTTCTTCAACTCTACCCTCGATAATCAGTTTTTCCACCATAACTGTTCTTCTAGCAATGTGTCCAAAATACTGCAAATACCTCTGTTGTACTTATTTAAGCAATCAATTCTTTACCTTAAGTTGTTCTAATATTGATACATTAGTGCGATGATCAATCCAGGATATTCTTAACATGCGGCGGTATACTCGCATTTCAAAAGCGTCTAGTTTATTTTTATCCACTTTCTTTAAGGCCCACGTTTCGGATGCATATGTGGCTATGGGAAAAATGAGCGCCCTTACCAGCCTTAGTTTTGTGTGTATTTTTATGCTAGAATTTTTCCAAATTGATACCAGTTTTTGTCTTTGTCTTACTCCTATTTAGCTTTAGTCCATATGTTTTGATTTTCTCCTCCAGACATTTCATTATGTCTTCCATTTCTTCTGGATTTGCCGCGATTATTAAAGTGTCATCAGCATATCTCAAGTTACTGATTTTTTGACCTCTGACTGATATTCCACCCTTCCATCCGTCTAGTACCTTTCAGATAATGTGTTCGCTGTATATATTAAACAGAGTTGGCAAGATTATGCATCCCTGCCTGATACCTGCCTCTGTTCTGAAATGATCGGAATGGGTGTTTATTTTTACTGTGCGCTTATTATTTTCATATAGACTTCTAATTAGTTGAATTAAGTGGTGGGGTGTTCTCATTTCCGCTAGTATGAACCATAGCTGCTGACGTATTATTATTTTTTAAACACCTTTTGAAGACTAATCATTTTTATTTTGACAAGATAGTAAACAGAGGCATTTTTGAATTACCAATTATATTGTTTGCACGACATGCACACTTATTATTTTTACAATTACCTTTGGATTGGCAACGCTTTTAACTTTGGCTGCCTAATATGCTATTTTTTTATATTTATTTCCTTCGTTTAAATAAAAACATATTGAAATAATTGTTTATTATGAAAATCGTAAAAACATGTGTTTCTGGTTGAATTATATAGAGATAAATTGCATTTTATACAATATGCTTGGGTTTCGGATCTGCATTTTGGACTGTTTTTGCACTGTTTTTTACCAGTACGATCTCGAAATACCCACCAGTGGCCTATTTGATCGTAACGGATGTCCTTCGTCGGAAAATATGCTCTCTTTGGTGCCCTTGCAGTGGGTTTAGGTGAACTACTGGAAGGTCTGTCAACAGGTTGTTTGACTGGAGCCATGCTACACACAAGCAGGGCGTTTTAGCTAATTGTGTTCTGAACACTGGCAATTCATTTTTCTCTTTTTTGGGGATGAATCCTGTTATATGGTAGGTAAGCGTTAATCACCGTCACATCTATGAGGTGGTAAAACATACGATTATTCCATTTTCTGGTCTTCATATGAATGCGATACCGACCTAATAGTCCATCCATCAAATCAACACCTCCCATATGCCGATTATATTCGTTGATGATCTGTGAGCAATCGATTTCATCGTGAACTCTTTTTTTCTGCCCACCGTCTAATTTTTTGGGACTGTACGCTATCATTTTTGATGCAAATGGTTTCACGCCAACATAAGTCGACAAAGTCGCACATATTTTGTATCGTTCCATAATACAGAGGTAATATCTATACCATATACGTTACCAACACATTCTTCTGAATAGCCACGGACAACTTTCTGCTGTTGCAAATCTGCGTCGGTCGATAATTTGCAATTGGATACGTTGTTTCTTCTCACTGTTCCCAAGCTATATATTCCTCTACTTCGGAGATAGGTAAGCACGCCCAAAGACGTATAGAAATTGTCAAAGTATAAAATGTGATTTACGAAATTTGGAATGTGCTTTGATAAGCGAACCACAACATTCGAGGCAGCCCCAAGATCTGGAGTGTCGTCCAAGATTATGTTGTCTCCTGTACCAGTGTAAATTTCGAATGGATACGAAAATCCAGAAGTGTCACAAAGGCAAAAAATTTTAAAGCCCCACTTATGTGGCTTGTTGGGCATATATTGTCGGAGGTCACTTCCAGTGAACTTTGTAGCGCACCTTTGTTCATCTACGCACAACCTAGAAGTTATAGGGACTGATAGAAACCTGTCATTTAAATGTTTCACTAGCGGACGAACTTTATGCAGAGGATCGTATCCAGGGTTACCTCTTTCCACACCTACTGAGTTGTCTTTATAGTGTAGATACCGGCGTATGGATTCAAACCGAAGCAAAGGCATAGTCTGACGAATTGGCTCAAAAGAGTGTTTCCCCAATATGATAGGACATTCGGATAGCGATAAACAGACAAATATAGAAGAATATCAACAAATTTTAGAATATCGTCATACTGGATGCTGAATTTTGTTTGTATATCATTTTTCCGAACATACAAGTTTGTTTGCTCCACTAGATGACCAATCATTGTGTCGTCAAGAAAATAAAGAAAACATTCGTATGAAGTGGCTAATTTCTAAATTTTTTCTGGAAACTACTTTTGGCCTCGAAATACCACCTCATTTACATGAAGTTGGAGGTGTTTACTTTCCCAAACAGTAGATTTCAATTCGCTAGAATCATTTTTCATGGCAACAACATCACCTGTTACACCACGAACTGCTACTACTGGACCACTATCTTCCGTTAATTCTGACGTTCGAGGACGTTTCTGTCGCCGAAAAGGTTGTGAGGCTCCCTGCACTGGAATTTCCTCAGATACTCTTGATGCTTGCGACACCTCTGATAGCCCTAGTTGGTCTGTATTATTGGATTGCTCTTGAATTATTTGGGCAACCGTTGAAGCTGCACTATTCTTTACCATCAGAATGATAGTCACTGTCAACATCTATTGCTTCAGCGTCAGCAGCAGGTATATGATCCAACATCTCCCAGATTTCTGCATCAGTCCGTTGTGCTATATCTAAAAAGAAAACTGTACTGTCCACATCTCACAATGCTTTAGTAATAAGCCATCAAATAAATTTTTACTACGCCAGAATGCACAAGTCACATGCATAAGTATGGAAAATGGGGCATAACAAAAATATCGAAATTGATTCAACTCAAATCAGATAAAAAATGTGTAATAGAGGTATTTAACTACTCACCTATAATTTTTCCTGCTTCATTTACCGTTCTACAAACAAGTATTTTTTCATCCAATACTACTAATTGTTCCCATATAACTAACCGCCTCCACGCCGTCCACGAAACAGTTTTAAGTAGGTTTGCAACTAGAATTTCGCCCGTTCATATTAACATCAAAGAATATAGACGCTTAAGCGTCTTAAATAGCCGCTCCGGATCCCACTTCGTCGTCTCGTCGTGGAGATGGATGCGCGAATATCGACACTCCCATGGTTCGAACTGTTGAACGATACGTCTCGCGTAACTGTTAACAAAATACGCTGTGGTCGGCATCATTCGATAACGAATAAGAATTTAATAAAGAGAAAAAATTTATATTAAATTTAGCTTATGACAAAAGTAAATATGTAGCACAAAATAAAAGAGAGTATTATCACGAATTGTATTCAGTGTGGATTATAGAAATATTTATATATAAAAAAAATGTTTATTTTATTCTCTATCTCACCAATATAATCGTTCATTATTTTAAATGACATTTTTTTCAACTGTTTGTATTTTAATGATTTTAGCCTGAAGGTTCCCCATATCATACCATTCCACCTGCGGACGTAGTAGCTGACGGTTGGGTACTACCTATGATGCGCACAACTAGGTCTACTTCCTTGGATAACCTAACCGTAGAAGGTCCTATTAAAGTAACTACCCCGAAGTCCAGGCCCAACTCCGTTTATGAATATTATAAATTGGCATATGCCGAAACTCTACATAGATGGCAGCTGATGTATAACAGAATCGAAGTTCTTAAATATATGTGTACTAGCCCTGAATCTCACAAAGGAGTTGAGTTTGTTAGCGACTGTAAGGACTGTTTAAAGCCAGCTAGGTTTAGTAATTGTAAATCTTGTAAGAAACTGACATTAAAATGTACAGTGTGTCATATATCTGTAAGAGGTTCAGCGAACGCATGTGTATTGTGTGGTCATGGTGGTCATACTAAATGTCTTAAATGGTGGTTTTCATTTAACGAAATTTGTTTGACAGGATGTGGTTGTAAATGTTTAGTAGAAACTGTTGGTATATTCAATCCCTAGCATTATAGCAAAAAGACCAGATACATAAATGTGATAAATTCTAATACAATGTGATAATTTAATTTTAATGCTTGTTATAACAATAGGGAATCTAATATTTACCTTAAGTTGCTTTAAATTAAATTACAACATCCTCTTTGTAACTTAGTATGTATATATTTCAATAAAAAATATTGCACGTATATATTTATTTTTAATTCCATACATATTTACCTTTAATATACACCATTCCTTTATTTCTACAACGTTCCATGCTAATTTGCCGTTATTCGAAGGTGATAAATTGTGTTAAAAAAAATAGGGCTAAAAAGAACCACAATATTAAAGCAGTTTTATTGTTTCATATGGTCAATGGACCTTCATATATAAAAGACCTCCAAATATTGATAATAGGTTGCCAGTCAAAAAGTGGCCGAAAATATTTTTAATTCAATTAAGAATTAGTTTTCAGTTAACAATTTTTCCCATGTTAGGAGATGCGCCCGAGAACATTTGTCACCTAAAATGTGCAAACACAATACTTACCTTCATTAAAAATCGTGAAATTCGAGCTTCTTCATATCATAGCAATAATATAAACAGATCATGTATCACGTTTATAAGACTTTTTACAGCATTTACCTAGTCTATATATTATACATATTATATTGAAGAACAATGTGTAGAAATGGAAAACTATGAATGAAAATATGACACATTAAATGTACATAAAAAAGTAAAAGAAATTACAGGAACTCAAAGAAGACATAAAATAAGTTTGCTTAAGAACAAAGACGGAAAGATTATTATATATTTAACAGAGAAAATTAATAGATGTAGTGATTACATAAGAGAGTTGTTTGAGGACAACAGAAATAACATTGTTCGGGTAAATGGTGAAACGGGACCTGAAGTTTTAAAATGTGAAGTAGAAGTGGTACTTAGAAATTCCAAAGCTAAAAAGGCAAATGGACCTGATGAGGTCCCTACTGAATTGCTAAAACACTTGAATGATGACTTAATAGGTATAATATTGCACTTATTTAACACAATATACAAAACTGGTATTATACATCAAGAGTGGCTGTTGCCTACATTCGTTACACTGCCAAAGAAATCCAATTCAAAAGAATATTCAGCACCATTCTTGGTAACTGGATCTCCTCACAAAACTCTCAAAATCTCTTTAGAAAAGAAACAAATGGCAGAAGAAAAGATGCAGTCAAAGGTTAAGAAACGTCTGATCATGGAAGATAAAGAAAATCCTGGCACATCATTGAACAAACGTCCCAAGTAGAAAACAACGAAGTGGAATTTAAATTCAAGTAACTCTGAGGACGAAACAGAAGTTCCACTGGTATCAACCGATGATGAGGATAGTTCTGGTGATGAAGATGCACCATATGCCATTTGTGGAAAACGTTTTTCACGAGACAAGCGAGAAGAAAAATGGATAAGGTGTTTGGAATGCTTCAAGTGGTGCCATGAGATGTGTTCAACTTCAACCAAGGTCAAAAATTTTGTTTGTGATTTGTGTCTGGAGGTGTAAATATATAGAACTTATGTATTAAAATGTATAAACAGGTTCCTATCTCAATAAATTTATTATAACAGATATTACTATTGTTTAAATCATGTTTTAAAAAATAATCATACATTTTAAATATGAATGGGTGGGGGGCGGAATTAGGGTACCATTTTTAAATAACCGAAATTTGCCGTATTTTGTTATTTATTTATTTTTACTTTAGGAAATTTTATTTAGTAGAATCGTACTAGCAAAACTCTTAGACATAGAGTTAAGTTACTTTACTTATTTTTTTCATTATTTTAACTCTAAATCAAATTTCAGAATTTAAGATTTTGCTTAGAGGGACGGTATTTGGGCACTTTACCTTAATTCCCACAATACTTGTGGGCTGTGTTTTAATAATTCGTTCAGTATACCTTGTGGTCCGCATGCTTTTCGATTTTTTAGATTTCATATTGCACATTCAACTTCCTGCACTGTTATTTCACCGTCTTCGTCGTATTCTATTCATATGTTGTAGTGGTGTTCGTGAATTGCGGTTTTGTTTCAGTCAGAAGTTGTGAGTAATATTCGATCCAAGATCTTTCTCCTAATAAATATATTCTACTCACTTCTTTTCTGTTTGTTCTCAGGTTTTTTTTTACTGTTTTTCATGCTTCTTATGATTTTGGAGAGGTTTTATTCTATACAATTTTGATTTGTTTAATTTTTTACTAAAATCAATATTTAGGGTTGTAAATATTGATTTTAGTAAAATCAAAAGGCGCGAGCGTAAGACCTTGTATTTATTGGTTTAATAGGAATTGTTGTTGTTCAATATATCGGCCATTTTCAACTTTTCGATAAAATGGTAAGACTAACATTGTTGCATTTGCAATTTTCTGCAATAACTTTTTAGGAAATGTTTTCATGAGGTCGATATATTCTTTATTATTAACTTTACGAAATAAATTTATCTTATCAAAAATGAAGAGATTTCTATTTTATACAATTTTTATCTATTTCATTTTTTTTTGCTAAAATCAATATTTAAGGTCGCAAGTATGGATTTTTTATGGATTGGTTTTATAGAAATAGGAATGCATATTTGTTTATTTACATTTCTGTCGTAAAGTTAATAATAAACGAGATAATTCAATAATGATGCTTCTTCCCTTTCAATATTTTCCGCCTTAACTCGGAGAAAATCGACCATACAAATATTGTTAAAAAAGAAATTATATGAAATCGTATTTGCAACAATTTTAGTTTTTACCATTTTTGTCTAAAAGTTGAAAATGGCGGAGAGGTTAGGTCTGTTTTTCGTCTAACCGACTGGACCGATGCTGAAATTTAAATTTTTCGTTTATCTTTTTCTGAGGCTATTTTCATTGCCTAAGGGCGCAAGGTTTAAAGTTAAAAGTAGTCATAATATCGCAAATTTCTAGCTAAGTTTTTTCACTAACTGGTTTCACTTAAAAATATAAATAAATCTAAATCACTACAATCAACATTCACTATATTCACTGTTCCCAATAATGGAACTTCAGATCTTCAAAATCTCAATTTATACCTTTATCGGCACAAAATTTTAAGAAATAAAAAAAAATAACGTCAATAGCACTAAGTTGTATTTGCTGATCATGTACAAATAAATCCATAGCTGTACTAAATTGTTAGGTTTTACTAACTGATTAATAACTTAATTATGCCACTGTTTATATGCATATAATGAAGAATGTTTGTCCTTTCTTTAACAATACTCAATACATTAACTATGTCACTAATATACAAATCTGTCATGGATTTTACTTTAATTTCAAGTATTACCAAATATACAATTCCTAAACATCGTTCCTTACAAATTGAAATAAGATTTTTACTCCTTCCTGAATGAAAATCTTGCACTAGCTCTATTATAAGCAGGATTTGCAAATGTTGACGTAGCTTCTTTGTACAGTGGATTATGATTATTTCCCCATTTAAGTTTCTTACGTTCGTTTTCAAATTTGGCGTACTCCCGCTTATCATGAATTGAAGTCACTATTTTCCATATCAATAACATAATAAATCCAGCTATAAGGATGGTTCCAATAACTCCCAATATCCAGGCTGCAAAGTAATACGAGAATTATTATATACCTAAAGCTATTATAAGAACAAATTTTAACTTAAACATAAAAATTCAAATAAGAATGGTTACTACTCTGTAAGGAGGCCTGGGAGACTTTGGAGACAAGGAGAGAATGGACACGTTTAAATTTACCGAGAAAAATATGATTAGCAACTTCACTGAACTGCTAAAAGAATCGTTGTAAATAAGGTTTCGTGTGTACTATGTGAGAACTCTAATAAAAGCATAGTGTTGAAAATATTGAATATTTTGTGTTTTTGGTAAGTACCACGTAATTTTAGATGGTATATAAATGTAAGCTACGCTTCCAATATAAATAGTATATTACATAACGAGAGTTGTAAGAAGCTTATTACATGTGAGTAAAAAAGTTGCGCGCGAGCCGCGTAGCGGCGAGCCCAGTAATTTTACAAGCAGTAAGTAATAAGCTTACAACTCAAGTTGTGTACTATACTTTTTCTACGATTATTTTCGTTTATAAAAATAAAAATAAAATTACCACTATATTTACACTAACAGATTAATAATTTTTAATCTGTCAGAATAACGTCTGTTAATTCGTTTCCATGGTAACTCGACCAACTGACTTACGAGGCTTATGTGATATTACACATTTTTATATAACTGAAGCGTAATTTTTTTTATTACGTGCTAGTCATTACGTGTCAGTATCTATTATGATGCATTTACTTTTGCATATTATGCATATTTCTGAACACGTTTTATTCTGTGGCGAAAAAATGTTTCTTTTTTCTTTTGTACACAGAGTAAAAAATGGACAAATGTCCATAGTCTCCTAACTCTGTCCATTGTCTCCCTATGAAATAATAAATATGGCTTTTTATTTTGTAGAATAGTCCATTAAAAATGCCAAACATTTACAACAAAAAAACTAATAGAGATTAATTATCAAATAAGCTGTCGAGGATGGAATAAAAAATAACTTGGGTATCCGAAAGAGCGCTAAGCACTATGGGGTGATCAAAAGCCGCTTAGCAAATTAGACGTGACTACTGTCCAGCGTGTTCAAAAGGTAGTAGGCAAAAATATGAACATCAAATAGAAAAAGTAACATGCAGGGAAAGAGGGGAACTCATAACCCATGTTGGTATTATTTGTGCAAATGGGAATGCTTTACCATAGGAATGGGAAAAACCTACTGGTTTTAACCGAAAACCGGTTTTTTTACTTCGCTATAACCGGTTTTATACGTTGCTTTTTGTCCCGGTTATAACCGGTTTTTTATTTTTAAAGTAAAAACCGGTTATTAGGTTTCTACGGTAATTAGGATTAGGTTAAGTATTATTTTGGATCCCAATCATAATTATTATTCTCAAGTAATTATCCCAAACAAAACCCTAATTTCAATTTTATTTTATTTTATAAATAGCTATCGCAAACTAAAGTATATTATAAATGTAACTTTGTAACCTATTGGATTAAAAAAACCGAAAACCGATTTTTGGGAAAACCGTTTTTTTTTGGCCGGCTATAACCGATAAGCTAAACCGTATGCAAAAAAACGGTATAACCGAAAACCAGTGTTTTGTCAAAAACCGCCATCCTTACTTTGTGAAAGATGTTAGATGTTCCCCAGAAAATCGGGTTTTGCTTGTAATGGACAACCATGAGTCTCATATATCCTTGGAGGTCGTGGAGTTTTGCAGAGTCAACGGCATCGTAATTATTACAGATGCAGATTGCAGATTCATGGATGCTTTCTCATCCTGGACAAACCCTGAGCATATATCTGATGCTACCTCTGATGTGTTTTCAGTCTTGGAACAGAGCCGCTAATCCAGTTAATATAAAATCTGGATTTAGATCTACATGGATTGTTCCATTTAATAAAAATATAATTTCTGAATGGGATTTTCTATCCTCATCTGTCACAAATCGTCCTATACTTGACAATATGGCTTCTGCATCTACAAGTTCGGTTCAAGATCAGGAAATTTCAAATCCGCAAACACCATCTAAAAACAACTCATTACAAGATACAAATAACTTTATATCTCCAGAACTTATTTAGTCCTATCTAAAGCGCCTTCTAGACAAATTTCTAATAGAGGTAGAAAAGGAAAGAAGACACACAGGAGAAAAATTTACTTGACGAAACTTTGAAGGGAAAGAATAAAGTCGCAAATAAGAAAGAGAAAGAAGTTAAGAAGAAAATCCTACAGGAGGAATCATCGGACTCCGAGAGTGATGAAGTAGAGTACAACGATAATTCGTCAGATCATATTTTCGAATTCATCGTCAGAAGAACATGGCTAGATGCAGAAATTTCTAAGGGTGGTTACATTGTTACCAAAGTTTTTGGGAAAAAACGTGTTAGAAATTTTGTAACAGTAGTTGATAATGTCGATCAAACAGATTGTGAGGTCAAATTCTTAATGAAAAATATGCCATCAAATAGATTGAGTTTCACTTCTGAGCCTACAGCTACAGTGAGTATTACTGATATTGTAGTATTTCTACTCCCGCCAATTAAAGATAATAGGGCAAGATATGAGGGAATGATTTATTTTAATACAGATTTATTACAATACAATTTACATTAATTTTTAGTATTATATCGATTTTGTAAGCGGTTCTGAAAATTTTCTATACAATGTTTTAGTTTTACTTAAAAATAAAAGTTGTTTTGGCGAAATGAATTGTCCATTATCTCCTTTATGGTTGGACATAGTCTCCTTGAGGGTAAGGAGACTATAGACAGAAACACCTCTGCGATTTATACTCTCCCATAAGGACTGTACTCATTTTAACACAATGAAAAACTGCCTAGACGTTAGTTAATATGTATTGTATTTTGTAAAATATAGTACTTATGTGCTTTGTGATTGATTCCACCGAATTGAATTCAAATGTCTCTTTCAAATCAAATTCTCATAAATCAATTTACACAAATAAATTCTATTATTCAAAATTTCGTCTATTACACTCTCGACTCATATTTTTCTATTTGGATTTCGATAGCCACTGCACCGAACTTTATCCCCCTCTACAAATCTATTTTCTTTTTCCTTTATAATTTAGTATTTTATTTTTCGCTTTTTCTTTTGATGAAACCCCTTTTAGTGACAATAAATATAAATGTGTACGTACTTTATTTTAGTAGAAGAAGAAGAATGACCGCTCCAGTCATTATATTCTTAGCGAAAATTATAAACATATATTAAATATAGTAAAACCATTAGTTTCTGGTAAACCTTACAAGATATTAAAGAAAATTAAGCATTTCTAAAAATATTTTCTTTGATTGTTATAATGTTGGGAAATATATTTCTTTAAATATTAATTACTTCTGCACTTTTTATCTCATGATAAAAAAAATAACTTACGTAAAGGATCCACTGGACCCGTACAAACTTCTCGATCCAAAGCTTTTACAAACAGTTTATCATCTATGTAATAATAATCGAAGTGTATGAAGCAGGACTCATTAAAGGGCACTCTACATTTTTTAACATCTTCCACACCTTCACTTTCCAATTTGTGTACAATTTGTGTTTGGAACTCTGTACAGGATGTAACACATGATTCATTATTTAGACTTCCAGATTTATAAGCTTGACATTCGACACAAGCACGTAATTCGTTACATCTGTAAACAAAAAAAAAATGTGTAAGGATATAAAACATAGAAGACTTTTTTTAAATAATTGCATTTAGAAATATGATCGAAGTATGATCGCATTGAATGTCAATATATGTTAAATAAGTTAATATAATTTAAATATATCTAAAAACGTGCAAGTAAAATTTACAGTACGTGTATTTAACGTATTTTTTTAGTTTGGAGACGTTTCAACGATATGTCATGTTTAATAAATTATTTTTTTCTATTTTCAGATTTTTTTCAGGAACCACCTTGTACAAACCTGTCGTGCTGCAGCCAATTGGCATATTGTACCTTCCATTTACTTTAGTTTAACTTTATAAATTGTTGTTCTTTTTATTATTGTTCTTCTTCTTCTCTTAGACTAGACTCTATCTGTTTTTCAATGTGTCTCTAGTAAGTTATCGTTCCTTCGTTTTCGTGGTCTTCCTACTAATCGTCTTCCTATTGGGGAACCATCTCTTGCCGTCTTTCCTACTCTATTTGTTGCCGTTCGACTTATACGGTCGTTCCATTCTACTCTTCTATTTCTTGCCCAGTTCTTGATGTTACCATCAATTTTTCCAACGAAAAGGATCTGACAATGACGACCAGGGCGATGAATAGGAACAACGATAGGAAAAAGCAAGATGCAAAGGTAAACAAGGATGAAAATAGGAAGAAGATGAAAGATATACCGCAGAAAAAAGGAGAGATAAAAATGAGAACATGGAACGTAAGAAGAATTAGAGGTAGAACTTGTAGAAGAAATGATCAGACAAAAAATAGAAATATTAGGAATAACGGAAACGAAAATAAAAGGAATGTAGGGATAATTGCACCGAATAGACTACAATACGTTATAGAAGAAACATATGTTAACCAGAGAATATTATCGCTGAAAATGAAACTGATAGACGAGGAAATATGGACAATAATAACAGCCTAGGGTGTAAATGAAGATGCAAAAAAGGAAGAGAAGGATAAATTTTTCGATGAGCTCCAAATGCAAATTGACAATGGGGAAGAAAATATAATTGTAATGGGAGATCTAAACGGTAGAGTCGGAAATAATAACAATGGAATTGAGGAATGCATGGGAAAAGAAGGAGAAGAAATACTAAACAAAAATGGTGAAAGAATAATAGAAATATGTATGGAGAATAAACTTGTTATGACAAATATAAAATTTAAATATAAAAAAGTACACAAATACACGAGAGTACAAGAAAGCAGAAATGAAAAATCAATCATAGATTACTTTTTGGTAAGTAGCAAGAAATGGAAAAGAGTACAAGACACGAAAGTAAAAGGAGGCTCAGAGATTGGCAGTGATCATCATCTAGTAATAATGAGAATGAGAACAGCAAAAGAAAAGGAAGAAAAGAGGAGAAATGTAGTAAATGAAAAAGTAAAAAAAGCTACAAATTAAAAAAAGAAAGATATAAGAAGATATTCCAAGAAAAATTCGACAATATTTTGAAAGGGAGGGCAAAAACTGCAAGTATAGAAGAAAAGTGGGAAAATCATAGCTGCTGAGAAAACTTGCGGGAAGACAAAAATAGCAAATACTAGTATGAGGAAAACTGAATTGTGGAGGGACGAAATACAAAGGAAAATAAAGAACAAAAAAGAAAAATGGAAGAGATATCTAAGTACAAAGCACCCTGAAGATTATGAGGCATATAAAGAAAAAAGAAAAGAGGTTAAAATAGCTGTGAAAGCTGAAAAAGAAAGGTCATGGGAAAAGTTTGGACTAAAAATGACAAATAATTATAGGGAAAACCAAACACTCTTCTATGGCGCATTAAAACAGCTCACACAAACATAGCAAAACATAGCAAAACACTTCCTGCTTGAACACTATTTCTATAGTATACAGGAATTTGTTTGTTTGAGCTCCTAGTGTGGGCGTTTTTATGAAAACTATATTACACCTTACTGAATTGTTTTTTTTTTATAATTTTATATATCTAATTTTCACTGTATATGTTTTATTTTGTATTCTTGTATTATTTCTTAGTTATTTCCTATGTATACAAAAGTGACTTATTTTTATTGTGACATGACATGTAGAGTTTGATATGTAAAAATTGTCAATAAACCTATCTATTTATATATCTATGGAGTTATTTCTGGCATTAATTTTGATCCCTAGTTTGAGTAGTTTGTGATTTTGGACAGGGGCTGATCTTGCCTTTCGTCGGTGCTCTCATACATTTCGCGATAAAAGGATTCGACAACTTCAAAGATTTTGATTCTATCAGTAGTAATGTTTCCATCTTTGTCTTTTATTATGTACATAGTTTTGTTGCCTATGTTGTTCGTATTTCGCCTCAAAACTTTTAAACTTTTGTTTGCTTAAAATATTTTAGTTATTTCTCTTGTATTTTTTTCTCTTACGTCTTTTCTGACTGACCGGTGGATATCTTTATTTAATTTCTTCATTGTTGTGTAGTTGAAGCCGTATTTTCCCGTCAGCTATCTTCCTTTACCTATTAGTTCTGTGGTATTTTAGCTAAGTTTTTCTTAATGAGTCAGAACGGTCGAGCAGCACTTTCTTTCCGTTTTTTTTAGAGCCTTCATTATGCCATCATCATCCATGTATAAAAATAACAACGACTAATGACGCACATACAAGACTAACGCTTATGGTGACGACGTCCACATTTTTAAATGTAAATAAAAATGCGTTGTAACTAGGTCGATAGAGATGTATAAAGTTATTATAAGAAGTGCTTTTAAGATAGTAAAATTTGTCGTATAACGCAAAAAATGTTTTTCGAATATTTTGTAAAAAAATTTTATCACTATAATGCCGTACCTCGGAGGTAAAGGACACTATGTCCATTTTCTTACTTTTTAAGGAGAGCAGCTTTAACATTATTTAAATTTGTAATCAGTAAATACTCAAATATTTCTGATATTTAACCAAAATTAATATATTATATAAATTTTGGTTAAATATCAGAAACATTTGAGTATTTACTGATTACAAATTTATAACATGTTAAAACTGCTCTCCTTAAAAAGTAAGAAAATGGACATAGTGTCCTTTACCTCCGAGGTACGGAATGTATATCCCGTTTTTTATTCGGAAAAATGTTCAACAATAACAAAAAAAAATTAAATAAAAATATAAACTTATTAGACATATTAAAACTAAAATGTTACCTTTTTGCTCCGCAGGACTGACAATCTTCACAATATTTTCCAGAATATCTCTTATTATCTTTTATAGCACATTTACACCGATTACATTTACATTCTCCATTATTGGAACAAATATCGTCACTACTAGAACGTCTACAGTTCGTTACAGCTGTTTCACAGTCACATGAGTCTCCGGTATATCCAGTAAAACATTCGCATTTATTACAATTGCAAGTTCCTTAAAACAAACAAAATATTAGATTACAGATAAAACTAAACTGCAAACAATAAAAACACCAAATGCTTACAAAGGATAGGATAACAAAATGGAAAATTAAGAAAATAAGAACTGAAGAATACCGCGTAGTAATACAAAAATAGTGTTACGCAAAGCCCTTGCTACGCCCCTGATCTAACCTGCAGACGTTCGATCGAGAAGCTCTACGGATATCCGTCACGAAAATTCTATTGGCTTTTGGCAGAGAACTACGTATGTTCTCTGCTTTTGGCAGCGCTGGGATACAAGCTACGCAATGATTCGATTTACTGGTATCTAACGCCCCACAGTGTGTCAATCATAAAAGACAGTAGATGGACAAAAGTCAGGATTTAATTGCTGTGAAATACTTTCTAAAAGCGCAAACTTCTTCTGTGTCATATTTCTAAATATTTTTTTACACTAAAATTAATTAATCTTGTGTCATTAAGGTTAGGATAACAAGAGATGAATAAACGCATTTAAAAATAATAGTAATTTGGCTACTCTTGCGATAATATAAGTATATCAGCGATTTTTTAGTGTGCATAATATATTATTTTGATGACGGATTTTGAACAAAAAAGCGATTACTTTTTATTTAGCTAATAACATAAATAAAGCAATGGTTAGTTATTTAGAAAAATACCAAAATGTCAACATTAAGTGATTTTTTCATGATATTTGCCCCTATGCCCTATGTGCCTCCGGACTATAATTTATTCATGTGATATCTGCTAGCCTCTAGGTACTGCTATTATAATTTTTATTAGCACATTTTTGTACAACTATTTTTTTTTAATTATTCATTAGCATACATGTACTTTATTTCAAAATTAAGCTTTTTGAGGAATGACTTGAAAGGATTCTATCTGCAGATTTTCATCAAAATTGTCTAAAAATTTCTAAACTAAAAAAGCCGAGAATGCTTCCTGTCAAATAATTCAGATTCGATGGTAAAAGATTTATACTTAAGTATATCCCTATACCATTCTGAACCATCCACATATGATATGTTTACCACTTCCGGGTGGCCACGGAAACAGTTTGACAAGTGCAGCGACAAAGGCAAAAGTAGATAAGTTGATGACTTAGTTGAAGCGCGTGGTACAACCGAGTTAGTGATTACTGCGGATGTGTCAGCGCGATTATCTGGTCATAGGAATTTGGCAACAGTTATTAAGGATGCTATTTAAAGGGCCGAAATTTGTAAGATGAAGCAAATTTTAAGGTCGAGTCACTGCACAAAGGAAAGGTGCTTAACGAAAGAAAAGCTTTGGCGTATTATGTGGACTCCTGAGTCATCTAGCCATTCACATAAACGGATTTGGAAGTGGAGCATAAAAGCAGGACATTAGTTATTCCAGACATTTATTTCCGACAGTATTAGTAAAGCTACGGATGAGTGTTACCCTCTAGAGGAACATATTTTTGTTAACGAGACGCGTGCAGAAATTAAACTTGCTATTTTAGATGAAAACTAAATATAAGAACATAAACACTGTATATACATATTAGTGTAAGTTCTTGTAAATATAAATTTTATTCTTGCAAATAAAATCTAATTGCACATGATGCGATTTTTATTTTTACTAATACAATATACTTTTAATTTCCTTTATAAAAATATTTTTATTTGATAAATATTTTAAAAAATGTTCATAGGAATATTTAATACAGTCATTAGAAGCAAAAAACATCAATAAGTAATTTTGTCCAGGCACCTTGTTCTCATCGAAACACTGTATGCCGCGCCTATGAGAAACATCCAAAGAGATACGGAACCACTAAAGTGGCTATATATAAAGATAAAATAGATTAAAGAAGTCAGTCGAAAATATAAATTTGTACGGTTAAGAAAAAAATGTTATAAATTAATTGTGATTTAGTGTTAAAAAGACGTTAAAACGTTAAATAAATTAAAATAAAAATTACAATAAATACAATTTCTAAGATGTTTGATAAAATTTGATACATGAATAAAATAGTAAAATTGTGCAAAGACTATGAAATCCTACGAAAGTAGTTTTGAAGAATCTTAGTATAAAGTAATCACCAGATAGGAAAAACATAAATCTCATATATTTCATAAAATTCTTGATAAAGATGGGAACAAAATGATTTTTGCATCAGACGAACTAACAAGGATGAGCCCAAACTCAAAAACACTGCACTTCTGTTCATTACCAAAGGAATAGTGATGAATAGAATTGTTTGCATGTTTTTATGATAGGATTACATAAAGACCTATCCCTACTCGTCAAATCCCAGAAACTCAACAGTCTTGAATTAACAATTGCTCTTGCCTTAGCTGAGGAGCAACAAATCAAATCTCAATCAGTAATTGCCAAATATCAATTCCCCTCGCAAAAAAATATATAATATATGTCGCAAACCCAATCATGGATCATATAATTGTCATCAAAATTAGAATTTAATTCAAAGAGAACACTTTGTCAGAAATTTGAATCAAAAATCATCAACATAACTCTTCCAATCCATCCTCTTCTTATAAATTGTGCAACCATTGCAAGGAAAAAGGTCATATAATAGAAGACTGTAGGAAACGTCACTATAACAATTCTCAGAGATATAATAATTCTCCTCCTCATAATTTCAGAGCTCATAATACAGCTCGAATGAACAATGAATTTCAAAAACTTTCTTTAACCAATCAGAGCTCTCCCAATCCGGCGGTGGTGAGAAATGCTCACATTATCCAAGCCGAGTCTTCGCATTCAGTCACGGAGTAACCACATATGTCCAATATAACTGCACTAAGCTCATTCAAAATCCAAATTCATTTCTCTTGATAAGAGAGACACTGGTGCAGATATTTCACTTATTAAATTTAAATATTTACAAGACTACGTTTCATGTTACAAAGATCACGAATAGTCACGGTAGAAATGGAGTAGGTATTATTCTGAAAAAAAGTGGAAGGAACATTTGTAATGGTAACCAGAAGAAGTGATAGAATAATGAGTGTGTAACTGAATATAGGCAATACCAATGACGTATAATATATAGACTCGGTGAACGCTTTAAAAAGTGTCCAAAACATGAATACCTTTGCTATTGTTTATTGTTTTGATACGAAGATGCACGAAGTTCATGATTTCTTACGAAGCATCACGAAGTTGATCTTGTGTTTGAAAACATCATGGACGTACTCCATTTTGTGTGACAAGCAAATTTTATTTTAAATTGTTGATAGTTATTTACTTACTATTTTAGTAAAATGCCATACTATTTTATCAAAATAATTATTTCTCTTATAGACGGGAACAAAAAGAAATCATAAATATTTAATTTTAATTAAAAAAATAATTATTGTCATTAACATATAAATGAGCACGCCGATGTTGTGATAAACATACCTTCAACCTTGAGCCGAGATCTTTCGGACACTTGATTCTATAGCGAGAATAGGGGACTGCGTAGTCTATATATTATACGTCATTGGGCAATACCAACGTGAACATCATATGTGCCTAGGTCCCACAGGTAGATTGCGAAGAACAGGAAAAGGAAGAATTTTGGAGTTCCCTTGATTGTGAAATGCTCGAGATTTATGTAGACGGAAAGTATTTAATTGAAGATAATTTGAATGGCTATATTTGTAAAAAAACGAGAATTAAAAAAGTATACAGAGATTTGGAGATGGAAGTAAGAAAATGATGGAAATAGTGTTATTAATTTAGCAGTGGCACAGGAGTTGGCTGTTATTAATACGTTCTTTATGAAGACTGAAGACCAGTATGTTACCTATAATAGCGGGGAAGGAAACGTCAGATAGATTTTGTACTGTGTAGAAGTCAGCTAAAAGAGGTTACCAACTGTAAAGTGATAAAGGGTGAATTTGTAGCTAGTTAACACCGACTAGTGATAGTGGATACGGAGATAAAGGTGAGGCGGAAAGGAAGTAGGACACCAGAAAGTAAAGTCATGAAAGTTAAAGGATAAGGATTTTTTAAAAGTAAAGTGCTGAAAGAGCTTTAGGAAAAGATACTGTAAATGACTGGTGAAAAGCCAACAGTAAAATTTTGGTGCCAGTGGGAGAGGAAGTGCTAGGAAAAATATCCGGTAAAGGGCTCCTTAGAGACAAAGAAACTTGGTGATGGAACAAAGACGTGCAATAGAAGGTAAGAGAGAAGAAATAGGCTAGAAAGAGATATGGCAAAAGATATATAGATGGTAGCAAAGAGGGAAGCAAAGCGCACTGTAGCTACTGCTAAGGAAAGATCGTCTGCATAGCTGTATGAAGAGTTGGAAACACCCGAGGGGATGAAAAGGTTATACAGCATTTCTAAAGCAAGGGACAAATCATAAAATGACTTGACCCACTTATGGCAGATTAAGAGTGTGGATGGAAGAGTGTTAATAACCAATACTAAAATAAAACAAAGATGGTATGAGTACTTTAGAAAATTATTAAATGAAAAACACTAGAGGGAAGAGATCAGATGTGGATGTTAAATGCGTATGTAATACCGGGGGTAGCGAGAGATGAGGTTGGCGAGTCGTTAAATAGGATGAAGAATGGTAAAGACCTAATGGAATGCCTGTGGAGGTTGATAGGTGCTAGGAGAGGAAGAGATGACATTTTGTGGCAAATGATGAGTAGAATATATAAGGAAGAAAGGATGCCCAATGCATGGAAAGTGTGATGGTGTCATTGCATAAAGAGAATAGGAATATTTCAGACTATAAGAACTATAGAGGGATAAAGGTAATGTCGCACACAATGAAAATTTAAAAGGGAACCATAGAGCGAAGGTTAAGGAGAGAGACATCGATAGGAGAAGAACAGTTTATGTTTAAACCAGGGAGGAGAATACCGGTTGCCTTGTTTGCTTTGAGACAGTTGGAAGAGAAATGAGGAGAGAAGAAAAGAGAGCTACATTTGCTATTTATAGATCTTGAAAAGACGTACGACACAGTCACTAGACAAGAGCTGTGGAGACGTATGAAAGAGACGTAAGTTCCTGAGAAGTACGTAAGGCTCATAAGGGATATGTATGAGGAAGCGTATACCAAAGGAATTGTGTCGGATTGACCAAAAGTTTTCCAGTGACGGTTGGTTAGCATTAAGGCTCTTCACTGAGTCCCTACCTGTTTAATCTTGTTATAGATGTACTAACAGAGAAAGTAAAGGAGGGGCTCCTTGGTTAATGCTCTTTATAATAAATATATGTTGCAGAAGAAGTTGGAAAGTTGGATAACTTTTGAAGAGGGAGGACTTAAAATTAGCAGGTTGATAATGGAGCATATGTGGTTAGGAGGTAGAGAAATGGTTGGAGACATAGAATTACTTGGAGAAAACTAGGAAGAGTAGGAGAATTTTAAAACCTTAGCTCCTACGTAAGGAAAAAGTGATTGTGGCTGTTATACCTCAAACCGATCACTTAAACTGTAATATCATAAGCAGAAAGCATATCTGAGCATACCTGTAAAGAAAATCAAATAAAATATTGGACAACTTAGAAGTGAAACAAAAAGGAACAAAATTCAATATAAGTAAACGTGAACCGGTAACACTCTATTTTAAATTTATTTGAATAGATAATATTTATGTATTGTCTTACCTCTATTGGAACATAGTAAACCCTTTTCTCGTTTACACGCTTGGTTATCACATTCACAGTATTTTCCTGTATATTTTTGATCATTACTTTTGGGAATTATGTTACATACACATTTTTCACATTTACATATTCCTACTCCTGTAAAAAAAATTTTATTTACAAGTGAATCAATAATATAATCAATATTTGAATTTGTATAAAGTGTGCAAATATTATGTATTTGGTAAGATACGTTCACGCAGTTATCGGTAAAATTAAGATTTATGGTATACTTATATTGTAATACACAGTAATATACAGGATTTAATACAGGGTCGATCACTCGAAAGAGTCCATCTGATATTTGGGAATATTAAGTGGATTTTGTGAAAATCCTGAAACGATATTTTATTCCAGAGGAGTCATTCTTTAATAATATAAATATCTGTCATTTGTCAAACCCCTTCCTTACAGTACCACAAATCTTTAATTTTAAATAAAGAATGTACCATCACACTACCTCTCCTCGAATGCTCGCATCACCTCTTTCCACTGCAAAGTGTTGAATGCATTTTTAACATCGAAAAGCAATAGAGCCTTCTAGCGCTGTTCATTTCCAATGTTGTGCAATTAATCGTTTACACTGAAATATGCGTCAATTGTACCCTTCCCTTTACAGAATCCGAATTCTCTCCGGTGCATGGGAGGACGCATATGCGACGATATTTCTTCCCAGTTTTGGGAAGGAGTACCAACCTTGATGTCCTCCAAGCCTCAGGGAATGTCTGTGGTTTAAGAACTGCACTAATGTGCTCAAAAAGCCACTCAGATTCCGCGCATCCCAGACCCTTTACCGCTTCGGGCGGTATCTGGTGGACCTACGTGTCTTAAGTTCATCTAATGCCTCGAGTAATTCATCTATGGTAAAGGGTACAGCCCGCTCAGCTACCTGGTACCTGGTACATTCTATGCCATCTACCTAGCGAAAAAAGCTCTCGCTCTCTCGTCGAGGACAAATATGTCCTCATTTAGCTTGTCACACAGTTCTTTCCAATGCCCTCTTTTTCTGTACGAATTTTTCTGTAGAGTTTTATCTTTCGTTCGAGGTATTCTATTGCGATTTGCTGGATTTGCTAGACGACAATAGAGTTTATGCCTACTCTGCCCCTTGCCCTCGTTATCCTTCTCTATATGACTACACATTCATTTCTGAGCTCTTTGATGTCCACACTCCATCCTGCTGACCTCTCGATGATCTATTCTACTGCCTTCTATAGCTTCTTTCATGACTCGTCCCAGGTTTTTCACCGTTGGAGTTTGACCCAACGGTGTAGTACCTACTCTCAATTTATTGAGTTCCTCATATATCTTCCAGTTATTCCCAACGCCGCATTTGAGTCCGGACATCCTAGACGCACGAACCTTGTTAGTAGTTCCTTCTCCGGTTATCAATAATCCGATGCACCGATGTTTTGTTCCGGTATAATCTGGCAAAACTGACCAATCGTTTGTTTTTGCTGCTAGTAACTGTGAAGCCATAGTAACATCGATGTACGTTCCCGTACCTCTCCTTACGAATGAACATTCCAGACCGGTGTTCAGTACCATCAAATCCAAAGTACTACCACCAAAGGTCTCGACGAGGGCCATAATCAAACACCGTTATATTAGGATAGAAATAGCAGCACACCAGTTGCAATTCCTCCATCCGGACGATCATATACCCTTTATTTGCCTTTATTTTATATACTCAGCAGTTTCCTGTTACAGATTCGTATACCGACCTTTCTAGTCCTATGTACAAACCAGCCTCTCATCACCGCTGTTGTGTTTGGCTCAGTATGTATATGATTTTTTCCGCGGCAGCAGCCTCGACCAGATGATGGGACAATCTAGCCGTTCCCACATTTGTTTGGAGTATCCTCAACTCCCGACTTGTTTCCCGTGTTTACTACAACTACGAGTATAACTATTTTTACCCTCATTTTTTTAAGCCCTTTTCTCTATTCGGATTGCTGAATATAGACCTCTCCTAATTCTCGCCATTCGTCTCTGTTGTCTGTAAGACGTTTCCACATTGGCCCTGCAGTTCTTTTAATGTCGTCGCTCCATCGCATTTGCGGTCTTCCTCGTGGTCTTTTAGCTTCATATGGCCGCCAATTCCCAATTTATTTGTTTCATCGACCATCCGTAAAACGTTCGTTATGTCCAGCCCATTTCCATTTCAGTTTAGCTGCCTGTTCGACAGCATCTTTTACTTTTGTTCTATTATGAATGTCTTCATTGGTTTTATGGTCTTTGAGTGAGATACCCAGAATCTGTCATTCCATAGCTCTCTGAGTTTTTTTGATCTTCTCCATGTTTATTTTAGTGAATGTCCAGGTTTGAGCTCCATATATAAGTATAGGTAGGATACAGGAATTAAACACTTTGGTTCGCGGTCTTTGAGGTATATTTTTATTTTTAAGTACGTATGAGAGTCTTTCAAATGCTGCCCATCCCATTTTTACACGTCTGCTTATTTCGGTAGTCTGATTTTCTTTGCTTAAATTGACATTTTGACCCAGATATGTATATTCATCTACGTGTTCTATCTCTGTCCCTTCGATGTTTATCAAAGGTGTGTCACCTTTGTTTGACATTAGTTTAGTTTTGCTGAAATTCATTCTGTATGTAGCTCCTTAATAATCGTATTCAGGGCATTCCACGTGTCGGCTATTAGTACTACATCATCTGCGTATCTAATATGGTTCAAGTATCTTTCGTTAATAGAGATTCCCTTATTTTCCCAGTGTATTGACTTAAAGATATCTTTTAGGGCAGCTGTAAATAATTTTGGAGATATTGTGTCTCCTTGTCTTACTCCTCGGTTGATTTTTACTGATCTTATTTTTTTTTCTTACTAATATTAAAATGATACAAGAAAATAGCTTCAGAAAAATACAAACAAGGTAATGTGAGATCATATATGTGAATGAAAAATTTTGAAAGAGGTCGGATATTCTACAGATCTCTTAAATAAAAATGTATCACCGTTAACGATTTTAGTGTGAAAAATAAATAATTACAATAACGAACCAGTAAATAGGTTAATTATCTGTTTACTTTTTCTTTATTAATATGAATGAGATTATAAGATCATTTGCACATGTTTTTAATTTTAAAATATTTTGCAAACAAACAAACTTTACCTGAGCACACTTCATTACTTCCTTCTTTCATACAAAGTGTGACGTTTTCTGCTTTATTTTGTAGAAGGTCACACTCACAGTTTTTGCCCGATTTTCCTTGTGGACAGTTACATACTCCGCATGTCAAAGAGCCTGTTCCGTTACATTTTGGTGAGTTCGGCTCAAATGTTGCATCGCTTTCTTGGGAACATTGACAGTCGCACAAAAAGTTTAATTCAATCAATAAACTCTCATTAATGCCATCTGGTTGGATAGAAATAATTTTTGTTTTCTGACCATCTTGGGGACACTGTCTTAGTTCAATAGTTGCCGTAAAATCAATAATTTGACCTACTGTAACGTTGTTGCAACGATTTGATTGGCCGTTTCCACAATTTGATGAAAATGTAACGTCTACTTCATCTGAAGCGTTAGATTTAAAGCTAACGGTTTGAACTATTTTCTAAAACAGACAAATACAAAAATAAGAATATATTAGTCCAATCGTTAGAGACGAAAATGTCACTCAATTTTTAAAAATATCATACTAACAAACTGAATTTTACTGAAACTGTCAATTTTGGTGTCCCAAAAATATGCAAAAATTTGCAACTCCTCCCCTGGGGATTTCCCCTAAAGCCACCCTACTCTAGCCACCACACACTAGGGAGAAAAATTCTTTTTAACAGAAATGTAGCGAGATAATTTTGAACAAAAATGTTTATTAGCACTTTTTTGTAAAGTTAACCGTTCTCTCAGAAAAAATGCTTGAAGCGACCGGCGCGGCGATTTTGAATGTCAATTATGGTATACGTGTTTTCAAGTCGCGCACATAGACGCGCAAGTTACAGTACAATGACCGCTACCATCCAGTGGATTCTACCACGTGGATTCAACACGAAGCTGCCGCTTGAACATTCTGGACTGAATTGCGACGTATTGGATAGCAAGCTCAGCAATTATAAAATTATAAAAACACCATGTAAAAATCAATATTTTCCGTCTGATTTTAATTTATTAAGTTGTTACTAAAATCTTTTTAAGTCGAAAATAAAAGTTTTAATTGTGAGTTAAAGAAATAAGAAGAAGTACTGTCATTTGCCATGTCCAGGAATGACAGGTACTCTTAACCTAACATTCTACAGTTGGCCGGCACACGTGGCCATTTTAACTTTTGTAATTGTCTTTTTCTTATGTGTTAAAGTAAATTAAATTGTCAAGTTTGGTCTTTTACACCATGCAATTTTTATATATTTTAATTATTGACTCAATCAATGAGTGGTGCGTGAAATTGTCACCTGTAAGTAGAACATCCACGAAAGATAAACCTCAATAACGTAAGTGTTCCTTCTCTTTATACAATTTTCTCACTTAATAGATTTCGAGGATGCTTTACTAACAGTAGCACTTTATTTTCAGTTTTTCCTGATGATAAAAATAAACATTTTCGAAAGCTTAAAAAACTTAGTTAAAAGAGTACACTTATTTCACTGCTGAAAAATCCCAATAAACCTAAAAGCTCCGTTTTCTAACGTTGTCGGCAAAGACTTTTCCTTATATATATATATATATATATATATATATATATATATATATATATATATATATATATATATATATATATATATATATATATATATATATATATATTCTGAAAGATTTCCGCGGTTAGTACAGTTAAATCTAGAGCTAAGATTAATACTATTACAAGAATTAATACTACACTCAACAGTCTTCCGGATTGAACCGCGTCGATTATCATTACGCCCGAGCTTTCGACACTCTAAAGAAAACATCAAAACCAACCCTGTCTAAACCAACACTACGAATGCAGTCATATTAAAACATGTAAATACGAGACTGTGCTTTGTGTCGAATATTGAAACATATGCCGTGTTGCCAAGATACTGATGCGCACAATTTCTTCCGTGTATGGATTTCCCCGGGTTTCCCCTAAGTTAAACAGGATAAAATAACGGCATACTTACATTATAATTATCCACTATTAACTTTATAATATTACTATCTTTGCCTTCACTTATTTCACCGAATTTGGAGTTGTCAATATTATCAGAGAGATGTTGGTATGATAGTTTTAATGCACTTCCTTTTTTTACAATAGCAAAAATTATGTTAACTTTCTTTTCCTGAGCTACATAATTTATGTGGGATACTGAAGGATAATCGTAGATTAAGAATTCTTCATCATTAGAATAGCATGTTCCTGGATTTGGTTCTATTACTCCTGCCAACTTTCCATCGCCAGCTATGTGAAATTCTGCATCTGTAGTAAGACAACAATATTATTTTAAAGAAGATTTATAGGTGAGTGATATTCATGTTAATGTAAGTACATCCATATCCACCAAATTAAATCACCATCTATTTTTAACGGCCGAGTTCACAATAAAGTTAAAAGAGACTTTAAAATTATTTTAGAATTTAAATTTAAAGTCGCCTTTAACTATAAATTTTCATTTTAGTAATCAATTTAAAGGGCCATTTTTATCAAAAGCCCTATTTATCTTTAAAGTAAGGATTTAGAGACTTTCAAGATGATAAAGTTTCCTTTCAAGGGAACATAACCTAGTGTTGAGATATTCAACCATAGACATACAAATAGACTGACTGCTGCTATACAGTCGCGTTCCCACAGTGCGACAGAGAAATCTGACAAAGAGCAGTCCCTGTATCTCTTCTAATTTGCCAGGTTTATCGACCTTCTCCTTATGATGCCTATCCGTTACGGATGTTGGTCACTAACATGGCTATTCCGGACTGCTGCCCTGAAAAGTCCGGTAGTGGTTAAGTTAAATCATTTTCGCAGGTTATGCAGCCAGCATATCCTTCTTCGTCCTGGACCTCTTTTCCCATGCACTTTACCTTGACGTATGGTCCGAAGTAGGTCATATCGTTGTTCATTGCGCATTATATGTTCCAGGTATACCAGTTTGCGACGTTTAATGGTTACGACTATGTAGTAGGTACTTCTTCATTGGTAACTCTGTCTATCCAGGAAATCCCCAACATGTGTCTATAGCACCACATCTCAAATGCTTCGAGTCTCTTCAGTGATGCTTCAGTTAAGGTCCATGACTCCACGCCATATAAAAGAACGGAGAATACGTAGCATTTTAGTAAACGAACTTTTATTTCCAATTTTATATCGTGGCTGCTAAAGATTTTTTCATTTTGACGAAAGCTGATCTTGCCTTCTCGATCCTTATCTTAATTTTCGTCGAGTGGTCCCACTGTTCATTTAAGTTTGCACCCAGATAACAAAAGTTGGTGATTTGTGTTATAGGTTGTTGGTTAACTAGTAATTGACCAGGTGGTATCCTATTTTTGTTTAGAACGATGTATTTGGTTTTTTTATGTTAAAATCAAGCCCAAACCTGCTACTTACTTCTGCCATCCTGGAGACAAGTGTCTGCGGACCTTCAAGACTGTCTGCAAAAATGACATTATCATCAGCGTATCTTATGTTGTTCAATCGTTCTCCGTTTATAAGAATTCCCTCGTCTATATCCCTTAGCGCTAGGTTCATAATGTGCTCTGAATATGTATTGAACAATAATGGGGGCAATATACATCCCTGTCGCACACCTCATTTTATCTTTATGTCGTCTGTTAACTGATCCCCAACTCTAACAGCTGCAGTTTTTTCGTAATAGATATTGTTTATTATACAGCGATCTCTGCTGCCTAGACCAATTAAATTTAATATTTTCATAAGTTCGTCATGTTTTATTCTAACGAACGCTTTCTGATAATCAACAAAACACACATATATATGACAATTCACGTCTCTACATCTTTGAAAGAGAATTTGTATTGCAAAAAGTGCCTCTCGAGTACCCAATGCATCCCTGAAGCCGAATTGTGTTTTTGTCATGTGTTCTTCACACTTTTTATATATATTCTTTTATGTATAATGTTTAAAAAAGTTTTCAGGAGATGGCTCATAAGGTTTATTATTCGATAATCTTCACATTTAGGGATTGTTATAAAAGTTGAGCTTAACCACTGTTGGGGTATTTTTCCACTTTGGTATATATTGTTGAATATCAAGGTAAGTCTTTTCACTTCGTCTTTATTCATAATTTTTAAAAATTCTGAGTAGAACTCGTCTGGTCCTGCGGCTTTTCCTCCTTAATGTTTATAGCAGCTTCTACTTCCGCTTAGAGATTAGGTGGTCCGGTATCGTCATTTTTATTTTGTGTGATGGTGACATTCCTATCGTCTTCAAATGTTGTTGTCACATAGTTCATCCATGTTGTTGTTGTTTCTTCAATATCAACTATTGGATTTCCTTGAGCGTCTGTTAAGTGTCCCGGCCTTTTTAGTTTATACATGCCTGCTGCTTCTCTGATCTTTTTGTGGACGTTGAAAGAATCGTGTTTACGTTCCAATATCTTGATTTCTTTACACTGTTCTTCCAGATTTCTATTTTTAGCTTCTCTGGCAGCTTGTTTTATCTCTGTCTAGAAATTGATATGCAACGTAGTCTTTCCGCTTGGATTCTCTTCTTCTGTTCATCATCTGTAATATACTGTCGGTCATCAATGGTTTTTTCTTTTCTGTCATTTTCGGTCGCAGGTATTGGTCTAATATTTCCTTCCCAATGTTTTCTAAGTGGTTTATTTCTGTATCAACATCATTAACTACTTCTGACTTAGATATGTTGTTCTTCAGATATTCCCGTACTTCTTGCTTTATGTCAGCATCTCTTAGTTGTTTGATCGTATCTTATAGGATTATGTTTGTGGATTTTTTTAAATTTCAGACGAAACTTAGAGATAAGTGGGTTATGGTCTGACTTAATATCTGCACCAGGGGAGGTTTTCACTGATGTTATTGAGTATTTGAATCTTTTATTTATTAATAGTCAATCTGGTTTCTTATGAGATTTAATGGCGTGTCACCGGGTGAGCGCCATGTGTACAACCTTCTGTATGGTAATTAAAGGAGTGTATTGGTGATTACCAACTCTTCTTCCGTAGAAAATGTGAGTAGGCGTTCTCCTCTCTCATAACTATCCTTACCGATTTTGGAATTAAAATCACTAATAACTAGCGTTACTTCATTGGTTTTTAACTTAGGACTCTCCTTAAATCGTAATAAAAAGCCTCTATTACTTCGTCTAATTTGTCTGCTGTGGGTACGTATATTTGGATTATGTTGGTTTTTGCTGGGAATAAATCCAATTGAATGAGCATGATTCTCTCGGATATTGGAACAAAATTCATAACGTATTTATTTATTTAAAATTATTCCGATGCCATGCTTATGTTGACCTTCTGTATTTCCAGAGTAATATACTTGGTGCTCGTTTATTTGACATTTTCCGGCATCAGGCTATCGTATATCATTGATGCCCATTATATCGATATTCAGTATTTCCATTTCATGGATGGCATTATAAATTTTGCCTGCTTCGTACATGGTCTTGACATTCCAGGCGAATATTTTAATAAACTGTTTAATTTTTCTAGGCGCATCCTTTCCTTTTACTTGGGGGTTTCGCTTGCTAACGACCTGGGAGGCACCGTGATTCTGTGTTGGGTTTCCTCCCCTGCCGGATCTTGCACTCCGATATACATGATCAGTAGTCTTCACTCTCAAAGCTGTAGCCATCATAGATGTACAAAAGATATCCATATGGATCTTTAATGTAGTGGTTTCTCCTTGCTTTCTACATCCATACGCCGTTGACCTAGTTCTCGGTTCATCAGCCTTTAGGGCCAGTTTCCCAACCCTAGGACAAACGAGTGCCCTACCACTTACCAACTCATTCGCCCGAAGCCGTTGCTAGGTAAGTGGAGGATTGCTTATACCGGCAATCACTCGGTCGTCAGAGCCTCGTTTGTTATCTAGCAGGATGCACCGGATGACAAGAATCAAGATCATCGCGAGCAGGTGAGGTTGACATTTGGATAGGAGAGGCTATACCATCGAGCAAAAAGACAAAAGAGGGAATCTAATCCTTATGAAAAAGAGACCAAAAAAGTGGCCTCTGATGGCAGACATATCCGGAAATGCGAATGCGCCAAATTTAAATTTTCCGACACTTATCAACAGTAGCTATAAAATATTTTTCAGAATGTGTCTTAGACGAGAAAGTTTTAATTAATTATTAACGATAATAGTCTAAAATGCTACACAATTGTTAAAAAACTTCAATATAAATAAGATTTCATGTGACATTTGGGACAAACAATAACATAACCCAACTAAATTTGATGTCAACCAAGGAGAGAGACTCTCTTTCCTTGTTTAATGTGGCCTCTAAAGATCGCACTTCCTGTCTAACAATATGTTTGCCCCCACTACCTTTACATTCCCTCTTTTGTCTTTTTGCTCGATGGGCTAACACGAGACCTAAACGACCAATGAGAAAGTCACCTGGTTGATAAACCCGGTAAGTTATAAAGAGATCCAGGAACTCTTTTGTGTCAGTTTTCTCTGTCGCACTGGGGGAGAGCGCTGGTATTACAACTATCAGCCGACAATGTACTTAAGGTTAGGGACTAATAATAATATATTATCTTTAAACATAATATTTATAAAAAGCGCAATTATGCAAAACATTGAAACTTTTATTTCAATCATCTGATGAAGAGGAATTTGTGTTACTATAATTTTAGAAATTTTATTTATAATTATATTTTTATATTTGTCAATTTATTTCAACAAGAGAAGTTCTTCTTCTTTGCTGAAGTTTGCGGAACGAAGTTTTTTAGTTTTGTCCATTTTTACTAAAGCACAGAATAATAAACAATCAGAATGCCCACTCTACTTGTCAAGATAAGTACACGCATCTCGTTCGCACAGACGAAATCAGCCATGTTTTAAACGGAACCAGTGCTTTTCAGTGACATTTTATCTGGTTTAATTTATTTATGGCAACTATAGACATAATATGCATTATTTTATTCGTACTTTTAATTGAAGCATAGCTTAAATTATTTCAAATTTACTAAATCATTAATCTCTAAAAATTTAAATTACAGTTATGTCGTAGCTTGTCACAATTTTCTCAATCCGAGTCTATCTTTCCGTTTTAAATATGGCCATCGCGTGCTGACACACATAAAAGGCTGCATCTGAGAGTGGGCATTCTGATTGTTATTTATTCTGTTACCTTAAGTTTGTAGATAATATATCAACTGATAAAATTATAAAATACCATAAAAAAAGCGAAAAAATATGACATTCTATGTTATTATTTCCACTTTAGTTTAAATATTATAATAATTCAGTTTAACTAACAGTATAAAATTTCATTAAAAGACATTTTGCTTAAAGAATCCTTTAAAACAAACTATGAGATCAAATAACGTTAACAGCCACTTTAAAGACACTTTAACGTAAAGTTTCCATTTAGTAAAGTCAATTTTTTTTAAACATTATGAAATCAATCATTGTTTTGTATTACAGCCAAATATCTAAGAATTTAAGGATTTATTTAAGCAATAATATGTGTACATATAAAAACATAAAAACCAATATAATTTCTTACTTACCCGTGGAAAAAATTAATAAATGTCTAGCTTGGTCTCTCCATCCAATCTTGTCTTTACAAACCATTGCTTGCATAAGAGCATCGAGACCACCTTCAGGTGAGTCCAAATTTCCAGAAACGTTAGCCAATTTTACTTCCTGTACAAATTTCTGGTCATCTTGGGTTAGGGAAACAACATGTTTAAAACTATACGGACTGGCACACTTTAGTTTTACTTTCCCTTCAGTTTCACAAGGAGCCAGTAATCTAAAAAGCGTAGGATTTTTTATTTATTTATCGAAATCATTATTAGTAGAAAAATCAAATCAAAAAGTCAAAAGAAACAAACATCGATTTCGGTTTAAGTAAACTGCGAATTCGAGCTTGCTATAATATATATGTATATATATATATATATATATATATATATATATATATATATATATATATATATATACATATATTATTGTGATATTCAAAGTCTTAGTGCGAAAAGCAATTAATTAGCTAATTAATTATTTAATTAATTAAAATTATTTAAATAATATGATTATGATTCTATCACACTTTTTAATTCTCTTATCTCAGGGTTATATTCGTGCTTCAATATCTATGCTTTACATGTGAAAGGTAAGGTCCCAAGAATACCGGAATAATATATTCCAAAGTATGCCGGAATAATAAAAAACATACATGATATAAACCAGCAGTGACATATGGAAGTGAAACATGGACATTGAAAAAGAAAGAAAGAAATCAATAAGCTATTAGTATGGGAACGCAAAATCCTGCGAATTATATATGGTCCTTGCAGGGACAGCGTGACAATTAAATGGAGGAGCAGATACAACAATGAAATAGAGACTCTATTTGGGAAAGGAAACATCGTAAGATACATAAAAGCCAATAGATTAAGATGGGCAGGCCACGTGGTACGGAGTGATGACGACAGACTGATTAGCAATGTGTTTTGGGAAAGACCAGTAAATAGAAAGTTCTAGAAATGTCAATGGGACTATATGCATAATAAATCACAGACAAAAAAGATTCCAGAATTTTCAGATAGAACAAATAGAATGATTCGAACATTATTTATTGCTAGATTATTCTGGAAAGAATGAAAAAGATATAAAAAGCCATGTAATTTGGAGGAGGAGTTCAGTTATCAGTCAGTCAGTTAGTCAGTTAAGTTATCAGTTAGAGGAAGTCAAGTATAGATTATTATTAATCAGTTAGTTACAGATTATGATTAGTTACAGTTGATTAATCAGTTAGTAAAGTGAGTCAGTTAAGTTATAATTCAAGAATTTAGTTACAAGAAGATTATTTATCAGTTAGTGGAGTTAGTTAGAAGAAATTAAATCAGTTACAAGATTATTAAGTGAATTAATTTGAAGCTAGAAGAAGGCATTGATTAAGTTAAATGAAGTACAGTAAAATAAGTACAGTGAAGTACAGTTAAATAAATCAACTACAGATGGAGATTAATTATTACTACAGTAATATAGTGATAGTATGAAGTTAATTAATTGAAGTAAGCATTCAATAATACAACCACAAGATCCAGTATATTTCAAAGTACATTATATGGAAATTACAAGGATTTAAATTTATATATTTGTATGGTGAGTGGAGATAATTAAGAAGGAACATATTAAAATAGTTGGATAACCAAGGCTTAGTAAGAAAATATCGAGTAGTGATAATAACTTTAATTTTGGAAAAACTTTAGGCGTTCAGTGAAAAAAGGTACCAAATTTTGTTAATAATTTAATTTGTACGAATTTCAAATTTTAGATAGATTGTTTTAAATTGATATTGCTTATATTAGATAGATAGGTTTGTTTCATCATAGTCATAATAAAGATAATTTAAAAAAGTACTTACAAACTAATTCTTTGAGAACCGTGATAAAAACCCTATACTTACATATATCATTCAAATTTACTCATAGCTCATACAGAAACAACACATCATAACAATATATATATTTAAATTATATATATATATATATATATATATATAATTTTCCGAGAAGCCATAGAAATTGAAAAAAGGCCAAATTGCCTTAATAAAAGAGATCACGGCATATGATTACCTTAGACATACTTTTGCAGGCCTCTCATAAAAAAATATCGATCGCTCCATCCGCGAATCAAAATCCCATTTAAAAAAGACCCAACATATTTAATTTATCATTTAATGCTGTAATAAATAAATTGAAGACAGTCAGAAATAGCAGTATGTGTAGATTTCTTTTTTCTAAACCCGTTTTGAATAACAGGAAGAATTTTAAAATTTTCTAAATAATCTGTTAATCTATTTGCATAGACTGTATAGTTTGAAATATCCGTTGCAGATCCATTATTTTTAAAAATTGGGATTCCTTTCAATTCTTTTATATCTGGAAATATCTCGTAAATGATTCATTTATGAGATAAGGTAATGGTAAAGCTATATAAGTGGCAACATGTTTCAAAGCTTTTCCATCAATTTCGTCTCCCCCTGCGGCTGTTTTAGACAGTTTTTAATACAATAGATATAACTTCTTTTTCAGCGGTTGCTGATAAAATGAAACATGAATTGAATTGGTCTATTTATATGGTCGGGATTATGATAACTAAAAGATTGGTAAGAGCTCTCACAGAATTTGTACCATATTCCGACCGCACGGCCTTAGTAAAACTTGAAGCGAAGCCAAATAATCTCAACATCATACAGGTTTATGCACCAACTACAGACGCATCAGATGAAGTAGTGGAAAACTTTTATAGTGAAATCAAAGAACTACTTAAATTGACAAAGAAACATGATGTCAACATAATTATGGGAGATTTTAATTCCAAAATAGGGAAGGGCAGGTTTGAAGACGTAGTTGGACCCTATGGTCTTGGAACAAGAAACGAAAGGGACGACCGACTTATACCATTTTGTCAAGAAGAAAACATGAGAGTTACCAACACATGGTTCCAACTCCACCCCCGTCGCCTTTATACTTGTAAATCTCCAGCCGATAGAGCTCAGAACATAATAAGAAATCAGATAGACTTCATTCTTATCAACGGTAGATTCAGCACAACTGTCAAAAGAGCTTGCACATACCCTGGAGCAGATGTCCCTTCTGACCATGTACTATTAGTGGCCGTCATAAAGATCGCTCTTTCATGCAAGAACAAGTCTGAAACTCAACAACAGATAGCACTGGATAAACTGAAAGACCCAATAATACAAGCAGAAATAAGCAATAAAATAAATGCACAAATTCAAATATTAACGACAAACATTACCGAAGATCTAACACCAACATGGAATATGATTACAAGTGCTGTAACAGACATCATGAAAAAGAACTTAGGGTACAAAACGAAATAACAAGAGGCAAAAATTGATGACAGAAGAAATACTATTACTAATGGAAGAACGATGAAGACACAAGAATCACCAAGATGGCAGCAATATGTATGAAAACATTAACAGGCAAATAAAAGCAAAAATAAGAATAGCAAAAAATGAATGGCTTAAGCAACAATGTATCGATCTAGAACATTTACAACGACAGCACGACGACCGTAATTTACATAAAAAGCTTAAGGAAACTGCTGGAATATACAGAAAACAAAGACCAACTACCATAGTTAATCAGGATAACCAGATAGTGACCCAAGACCCATGAGTGAAGTTTATACAGATGACCAGCTGACTGGCCCTTCAATCACCAAAGAGGAGATAGAAAAGGCAATATTAAATTCAAAAAACAATAAGGCACCTGGACCATATGAAATCCCGTCAGAAATACTCAAATTACTAGATGAAAGGGAAATTTCAGCACTACACAAAATATTTAATTTAATTTATGAAACTGGCTGCTATCCTCAACAGTGGTTACGCTCTACCTTTATTCCCCTGCCCAAGAAAGTCAATGCAAAAAGATATGAGGATCACAGACTCATTAGCCTGATGAGTCACACTTTAAAGATATTCTTAAAAATACTACATCAAAGATTATACAAAAAATGTGAATGGGACATCAGTGATTCCCAGTTCGGGTTTAGGCAAGATTTAGGAACACGAGAAGCAATAGTAGCAATACAGGTGCTGGTCCAAAATTGTTACGATCAGAGGAAGGATGTGTTCCTATGCTTTTTAGATTACCAAAAAGCGTTTGATCGTGTCCAACACCACAAGTTAATGCAGATTCTCAAGAAAGTTGATATAGACCAAAAAGACATAAGATGCATTGAAAACTTGTACTGACATCAAACGGCAGAGTTAAAAATAGACAATTCTATATCCAAACCCATACATATAAGAAGAGGCGTTCGACAGGGATGTGTGCTTTCCCCTCTTTTATTTAACATTTATTCGGAAGCCATATTTCAAGAGTCTTTGGAGGATGTAGAGATGGGAATCAAGGTGAATGGAGTATTGATCAACAACATACGATATGCTGATGATGGTGTCTTAATTTGTGACAACATAGTCGATCTTCAACAACTTGTCACTATAATCGGAGAATACAGTAAGCGAATGGGATTAGAGATTAATACCAAAAAGACCAAATTTATGATCATCTCCAGAAACTTAGATGCACTTGAAAACTCCACCATAACACTGAATACTAAGTCCATTGAAAGAGTGAGTAAATTTAAATACCTGGGATCGTGGCTTTTTGAAGACTGGGCATCGGACAGGGAAGTAAAATGTCGCATTGAGCAAGCTCGACAAGCTTTCGTAAAATTCAAGAAAGTACTGACTTGTTTAGAGTTTGATCTTCAACTAAGACTAAGGTTTACTAAGTGCTACGTATGGTCAGTGCTGCTATATGGCGTAGAGGGCTGGACACTCAAAACGAGGGATATAAACAGATTAGAAGCTTTCGAAATGTGGCTTTATCGCCGTATCCTAAAAATACCATGGACAGCGAAAATCACAAATATAGATGTCCTTAAAAGAAAAAATCAAGAACGCCAACTTTTTGAAACCATCAAGAAAAGGAAAACGGCGTATCTAGGTCACATCATGCGAAATGAAAAATACCAGTTCCTCCAACTTATAATCGAGGGTAAAATTGAAGGCAAGAGAGGAATGGGACGCAAGAAAATGTCCTGGCTCCGAAACATAAGGCAATGGACAGGGATTAACGACATACAATCTCTGATACATATTGCAAGAAATAGAGAATTAATGGAAAATGTGATCGCTAACATCCATTAGTGGATTTGCATCTGAAGAAGAAGAAGATTTATATGGTACGGTTCACAACTGATAGTTCATTATTTTTTACAGCATTATTAAAATAATTGTTGAGATATTAAAATGTTGTGGACCGATATTATTTTCATTTTCTTATTCGTACATGACGTATTTGATTTATATATCTTATCATATAAAATATTTTATTTATAAATAGAAATATCCATCAAATACAGATAAATAACTTACTTTGAAGGAACAGTACTGACAAATGGTAAATCCCGTTTGTCAATAAAACTACCAAATCCCAGCCTAAATTTTCTTGTAATCTGTCTCATCTGGTACGCCAGTTCCTGTCCAAGTTCTGCCAGTTTTGCCTTATAGTTTTCCATAGACTTTGATAAATCCATAAGATAATAAAGATCAACTGGATAGTTTTCGGCGTTTTTAAATTTAAATTTAAGATCATACTTTTCCCCTTTACGCAAAGATATTTTTACTCTCTGGGGTTTCATTTGTATAGTTTTTCCTTCTTCTTCCGAAAACTTCTCGTCTGTAATTACATTATATTCAGTTTTTGGAGAAACAACATCAAGGGGTTTACACCAATTAGATGTGGCCGATACTGTGCTCGGGAGACAATGAGGAAATTCTTTGCCAGATATCTAAAAATATAATTAAATATAATTATCTTAGAATGTTATAAGATCGTTTTCTCTTATTTACATTGAAACTTTTCAATATAAAAATGTTATTTTCTAAATAAAATTAATAATGTAAAACAATATCTATTGCATATATCGGAAACAACAATTAGTACATACTTAAATCTTAGTCTAAAAAGAAAAGAATTTCGTGCTGTCGGCTATACAGACGATTTAGTTATAGTGGTTAGAAGTAAGCATGACAGGATTAAGTTTGGATAATCTCCGACTTTTAGTTAAACAAGCTTTCATTCTTCAAGAGGTTAAATATTGTAGCGAGTTAAATAAAACGAGCGGTTCTTAATTTATATAAATATATTTATTTATAAATGTACAGCACGAAAATATCTTATCAACTAACTCAATATCCTCGTTACTTATATATATATATATATATATATATATATATATATATATATATATATATATACTTACAAGTTATTATGTACTAGAATATTCTGGAGTAGTTCACCTCTATCCTTCCCTTCATAAGCGCATCGAGAATGCCAACGATAGAATATTCTAGTTCCATACTTCCATGAACTGTGACACGTACCCCGCATCGGGGATGGGCTATTTCGTTACACTGCTCCCCTCTTAGATCTGAACGTCCCGGTCATCAACTTTACATGAAGGCTCAGTGTGACGCAATCTACAGGACTCTCCAGCTCTTCATGAACCCCTCAGAAAGAAATAACAATCTACTGTCTTTGAGGACACGATCTCTTCGAATTAATGCAACAGTAATTCGTACGCCGGTTTCTCGGAAGATCACTTCAAGCATGGTTCTGACAATCTTCCAATCCAGATTATCTAGTGCATGGCTTATCTTGGGTAGGGCCAAATTCTTGATGTCATAATTGCACACGATTTTCTTCAAATTAGTTAGAGCACGCCATATATCCTCGTAGGTTGCCCTGTCTGTATACGACTTCCTGGTCACTATATACAGCAAAGATTGAGGACCATCTTCTAATCTCAGTACTCTTCCAACTTTAGGCTGCTAATTTTTTAACTCGTCCAAACGACCGAACTACTTATAAAATACGGATGAGATTCCTTTAGTCATCTCAAGATCATGGGCAACACAGTGGGCTAGAGAGACGTTATGCGGAACACTAAAAAGATCCTGCTGAACTGCTGTGGTCACGGTGAATCTAGCACTCTTTCTCTCTGCGTAATTTGACATAAATTCATTAAAGCCTGGTCGCCAGTCATCTTTGATCTCATGTTGAAGGGTTCGTGCTTCTTCTGTTTCATTTGAGCAAGCATATCGTGCAAGACGGGTTATGTGAACTACTTTTCATAGTGAACTATGGGCTATGTGAACTACATAGCTTTCATTCTTGCATCGAAAATCATATTGACCTTTTATTCTGTCTCTGGCTAACTGGATGTGTTGTCGAGCAACTTCATGAATGTTGTTCATTCTTAACTTCAGGTGGTCGACATAATCTTCGCTTGCAGCATGTTCTTCGGAAGGTGTGCAGCCAAACCCTAGGTCGCAGAGCAAACGAACTTCACAACCTAACATCAGGCAGGTTGGAGTCTGGCCTGTAGTTTCATTCACGGCCGAGCGGTAGGCCATTAGGAATAATTGAATGTGCTGGACCCAATCTCTTTGATGTTCTGATACAACTTTGGACAGGTTTTACCCATCGTTCGGTTCATCCTCTCGACCAATTCATCTAATTGAGGATGCAGGGGTGTCATTCTGGTCTTATTCACACCAATCAATTTACAAACGTTTTGGAAAAGGGTTGACTCGAAATTTCGCCCTTGGTCAGAGTGGATCTCCAAGGGTACATCAAATCGGCTAAAGAATTCTTTAACAAGTACCTCTGCAATGGTAGCAGCTTCTTGATTTGGTATCGCATAGGCCTCAGTCCATTTCGTAAAATAATCCATGGCTACCAGGATATATTTATTTTCATCATTCGTCTCTGGAAGTGGACTTGCAATGTCGATTGCTACTTTTTCCATAGAACTACCAACATTGTAGTGTTTCATGGGTGCCCTCTTTTTACCAACTAGACCATTACTGGTTGCACACAGTTCACATTATTGGCACCACCTTCTTACATCATCTTTACAGTTCACACAACAGAACCGTTCTCGAACCTTTTGCAGAGTCTTCGTAATACCAAAGTGTCCACCTGACGCATTGTCATGCAACTGACGCAATACTTCTGACACTTTACTTGTAGGTACAAGCAACTGAAGTTTAGTTTCTGTACTATCATCGTTCTCAAAGGTTCTATACAGAAGATCATTTTTTAGCACTATACAATTCCATTGGCTCCAGTAACACTTGACTTCGGGACTACATGCACTAATGTCTTGCCAAGAAGGTCTTTTACTTCGACGCATCCAATCCAATACTCTTTTTCATACATGGATCATCTACTTGAGCGTCTTGTATCTGTTGAGGTTGCCATTGATCATTAATGACGGTGGTTTGTCTTACGGGGCAAAGTCGTTCGTTTAATTTAAGACAATGATTACGATTTGCACTGTATGGCCGTCTTGACTGAGTATCAGCATTTGAATGACTTTTTCCAGCCCAGTGTTCGATCTGTTCTAGCTTTCTGACTGTTGTATTATTTCCTTGCAGTTTACGGCGAATGTGACCTATGTCGCCACCATTCCAACATCTGATTTTGCGTCTCTTCGGCATCGTTTACGAACTACTTTCCATATGATTTCCTTCAGACGTTTATTATTTTGTTCGTCGCTCTCTATAGAGGTTCGTACTCGATAGCTCCGTGAAGCTCGACTAGCTGTCTCGTGTTCCAATGCAATGGCGAGCGCTTCATCCAAAACTTTCGGTCTTACTAGTCGTAAAGCTTTCTGTAGTTCACTGTCTCTTAACCCATTGATGAAGGTATCTACAGCAATTTCTTTCAATATGTTGTCTGGTGCCTCTGGATAAGCCAACAGCGCTATACGAGCAACATCTGCTTCAAATTCTTGCAAACTCTCACTTGCTCGTTGAATTCTACTTCTTATTTGTGCTTTGTAGACTTGTTGTAAACGGGCATATCCGTAACGTTTGTCTAGTCGAGTGAATAAGGTCTGGTAACATTTTTCTTGACCTTTAGGAATCGATCTTAGGATATCCGCAGCATTACCTCGTAAAGCAGCAATTAAGGAAACCGCTTTTTCTGGTTCTGTCCAATAATTAACTGTCGCAATAGCTCCAAAATGTCTAAGGTATATGGACCAAGAAGACTTTCCATCAAATGGTGGCAATTTTAATCTCATATGATGTGTCGTTTCGTCTCTAGGTGATTCTTCTTTCACTACCGGATCTAAAACTACTGAATTAACTAGTGGTAGCACTTTTGTATTGGTTATCACGCTCTCCAACTGTTTGATCTTCTCTTCTATTTTATTGAATGTTTTAGAAACTTCTTAAAATTTCTCATTGTTCTTTCTAGAAGTTTCTTCCATAATTTGAGAAACATTTTGAAATTTCTCGTCGAATCTTCTAGAAACATTTTCGAGTTTCTCGTCGTTTTATCTAGCTAGTTCTTTAATAATTTGAGACGTTTCAATATCTTTGATTGATATGAAACTTAAATGAAATACGCATTTCGCAAATATCATCGTTAAAGCAAAAAGGGCTCTTTGAACATACCGTAGACTTTGTGGGAAAACATGAGGTCTAAAACCTAAAATGATCTATTTTTCATATACAACAGTTGTCAGATCCATAATTACTTATGCCGCGTTGGTTTGGTGGAACAAAACAATGAAGTACGGGTAATAAACACAGTTGGAGGAGGTTCAAAGACTCGCTTGTGTAGAAGTTGGGATAAATTCAGATTGTGTTCCACTGCAATTTAAAATGTGATCCTAAATCTTGTTTCTCTATAAATACATGTTAGGAGAATCGCCCTAGAAAGTAGCTTAAGGCACAGAACAAATTACAATCGCTCTACTTAAACTCGTCAAATATCTCGCTATTGAAGATGTACCGAGAAAAACTTATTTTCCCTGACTAATAACAGGATTTTCTACCTAATCTTTTTTAGGTTGGATTTATTTACTGGATTAATATCGGCTAAGGAATTTTTGTAAAAGCTATATTAAGCAGGTGGAAATGACGCATATAATATTAAACAAAATATGGTATTGTGAATCATATATATAATTATAATACCATTTCCTGAAAATAAAACCTCACATCCTGAATTGTCCTTCTGTTATCAAAATAACTTTCTTCCATTTTACAATATTATTGGTTTTTATTTTATTTATGCAAATATAAATTATAAAAAATGTATATTTTAATCATCTAATTAAACAATTTTGATGTTATTGTCAAGTATCTGCTTCTACACTATCGACCAAAATGGATATACATATTTAACCTGTAAACGACTTACACCATCAATACTTTGTTTAAGAAAAAAAATTAATAAAACTGTTTCGAAGGCAATCAGGAGAGATTTATGGAAATTTAAAACCGATAATAACAAATGGGAAATGCGAAATTCCTAAATTAAGAAACAAGCAAAATGAAATAATATCACGTAAAGACGAGTTAATACAGGTCGTTGAAGAGTTCTACGAGGAATTATATGGAAGTAGACGAGAAGATTAAACAGGAATACAAACAGCCATTTCAAAGAAGATCATGAATCAAGGTTCTGAACTAATGCCAGAAATAAAGTTAGATGAGATTCGACAAGAGTTAAGAAAAATGAAAAATAACAAAGCCCCAGACCACTTGTACAGATTTATTAAAGATGGTGCTATTCGTATTAATATGACACTATCGAATTACTTTTTCTAGTGCAAGGTTAAATAAGAGACACGACAATCAATCTTACTGTCTCAGTCCATTATTACAATGAAAAGTCGTTTTGGATTCTGACTACACTCTATACGCCTGTGAGTGTAAGTTCCGTTAGTTGAACAAGATGAAGCGGCATTTGAAATTTCACCATATCCTG